AGATCATGGATATGGTTTTTTCATGGTCGACTTATGATCGGAGTTTCACCTCTGGTTTTTTCTTCAGGTGGTGAAACAACAAATTGATCTCTTGGATGAGAAGAATACGGGCCCCCTTCGATGTCGTCGCGTCTTACGTCGACGCTTAGTATTTCGATGACGTTCACGCGTCCGACGACGTCGACGCTTAGTATTTCGATAACGTTGACGCCTGATGTTTGGTTGACGCTTGACACGGGAGGGTATTCCGTAAGACAAATTGCCAATATGCGACGCAGCATTTGTCACCACTGAACTTTGGTGTTCTGACAGTATTGCTGTCAAAAGGGGCAACACCCGGCTGCGTGACCGGAGAAACTGCCAATTTGCTCTTGATACAAACGGGGAGAGTTGTGCTGTCACCCGAGGGCGTCTAAATGGAATGATGTGCCGTGTTGCCCGTACTTCAAGCTCCACTAACGGGATATATTTTCGGAAATTTGAAACTTTTCCAAAAAGAAATCAGGTTGTCTGATCAGAAATCCTGGACCTAGTTTTTTCATGGTCGACCTATGATCGGAGTTTCACCTCTGGTTTGTTCTTCAGGTGGTGAAACAACAAATTGATCTCTTGGATGAGAAGAATACGTGCCCCCTTCGATGTCGTCGAGACTTCCGTCGACGCTTAGAATTTCGATAACGTTGACGCCTGATGTTTGGTTGACGCTTGGTCCGGGAGGGTTTTCCGTAAGACCCATTGCCAATATACGACGCAGCATTTGTCACCACTGAACTTTGGTTTTCTGACAGTATTGCTATCAAAATAGGTAACACCCGGCTGCGTGCCTAGAGAAACTGCCAATTGGCTGCTAGTACAATAGGGCATCGTTGTTCTGTCATCCGAGGACGTCTGAGTGGAATGATGTGCCGTGTTACCCGTGCTTCAAGCTCCACTAACGTGATATATTTTCGGAAATTTGAAACTTTCCCACAAAGAAATCAGGTTGTCTGATCAGAAATCCTACATCCTGGAGCTGGTTTTTTCATGGTCGACCTATGATCGGAGTTTCACCTCTGGTTTTTTCTTCAGGTGGTGAAACAACAAATTGATCTCTTGGATAAGAAGAATACGTGCCCTCTTTGATGTCGTCGCGTCTATCGTCGACGTTTAGCATTTCGATGACGTTCACGCGTCCGACGACGTCGACGCTTAGTATTTCGATAACGTTGACGCCTGATGTTTGGTTGACGCTTGGTCCGGGAGGGTTTTGCCGTAAGACCCATTGCCAATATACGAGGCAACATGTCTCACCACTGAACTTCGGTTTTCTGCACAGTATGGCTGCTAAAATGGGTAACCCCCGGCTGTGCAGCCAGCGAAACTGCCAAGTGGCTAATGGTGCAAGTCACTGTTGTCAACTTTAGGAAAACCAACTATTGATTGGAAAAGAAGTAAGTGTGCTTGCCGTCTAAACTCCTACCACGGAGGGCGTGAAATCATCCGAACCACGGAAGGACTGTTCCGCACTCCCCTGCATCGCAACCAGACAAGCAGCCGTGTCTTGACATCATCCCTTCTCGTCGTCCTTGCGTTATCGTCCGAACGCGCCGTCTTGTTTGATGATGTACCTGGTGGCGACACACGAGGATGAAGTCAGGTCGCCATTTTCATACTTTTCCCTACTTGACCCTGAACCTACTGACACCACTCCACGCACCTCCCCATTGCCGCCCATAGCACCTTGGGCCTTGAACCGGGCCGTAAAGGCTTGCGAACGATTTTCGTGGCACGATCGGTGTCGGTCGGCCACGCCCAGGCGTTGGCGTGAATTGCATCCTCCTGCTGAAGGAGACGGACGACTCCCTTCAACCCGTCCACCCCTTCCGCATCTGCGTCTTCAAAGTGGGTCTGTTCGTGCCGTAGAGTGATCTTGGCGGCTACCAGAGGTCCACCTACTATTTCACCCAACCCCTCTATTTCGAATCGAACTTTGTTCTTGGTATCGGCCCCGTGGTCAAGCAAGAACCTCACTATCCTCGGAGCATGTCCGCGTCCCGTACGGAAGGCACAGAGGCGGGGGTTCTCGCAGGCGTTGTCGATGTTTGTGTAATTGCGCTCCACCATGTGAGCATTTCCCCCTCGTCGGCTCACCAACAGCTTTAAACACGCCTCGTTGCGACCCTCAATGGCATCAACCAGGGCCGTACCATCCATATCTATGACACCGGCGTCGAGCAAGAGCGTAATAATAGCTTGGTGATTCTCGTATGCCACGGTCTCGAGGGCGCCTATGGCGCAGACACCGACCTTGGCCCGGAGCTCCAGGCCGAGCGTCCTCCTGTAGGATTTTGCGTTCTCCATGACGTTGTGCGGGCACCTCCCCGCTATGGTCGTGTAGCCGGCGGATGGTGTCAGAGGACTCTTCCTGTTTGGCGGTATTCTGTCGCAGCAACATGTGGTGCTGGTGAGGGGGCAGTGGCACCCGTTGATCAGGTAGCCACCGAGCGGCTTGCTGTGCACATATATCGGTTCGACGCATCCCTTGGGCCTTGCGGGTGGGAAGCACAGTGCCTTGGGTGCGGCGGAGGGTGGAAGGCCCTTTTCCTGTCTCTTCATGGCCTTGGTCTTGCCACTTTTCGTTTTGTTCGTTTTCTTTTTGTTGCCAGGCATGATACGTTACTTAAAAAATATGTTAATGACACAATCGATACTAGCCCCTCCACTGCTTCCCCACGCACCATTGTCTCATGGCTGTTGTCTGAGAGAGATCCGTGTTTGCGATTTACTGTTGCATGACTTCGCGGATAGCTTGTTCGATGATGTCTTCATCCCGAGAAAAATGGCAATTTTCCATCACGGGTCGTCCGTTGAAAAGCGTTTGCCTCTTGACAAAAGCATTCCAGTTGCCGGGAAGGGCATACTTTTTGATGTACAGTTGTCGCACCAACTTTCCTACTTTTCCAGACAAGTGTTGTGGAACCCTTATGCCAATTTTAGACGACACTACCACGATGCCCGTCTCCCCGCCCCTTTGCGCCGAGTCAAGCTCGTGAGTGGGCGTGGTCGAGTCCTGCAGGAGCGGGGTGGCGACTGCCACTGCATCATTGACAACCATATCTTGGCGCCTGAGGATTGTCACGGTGTCGCGCAACTCTATCAGAGTGCGCCCGTCGAGACGAACGCCAATGTCTTGAAGGGCTCTGTAGCTTTGCACGAGGTCGTCGACCCTCTTCCGCTTGAGGGCCACCCTGCTCTCGTGTAACTGCTGCTCGCCAGCTTTGAGATGCTGCTCAATCATTCGTTTGGCGACGTGCGCGCGGTCGGTCTCGGAGAGGTACGTGAAACCGGTGGGCATTCCATCAAAGGGTTCAATGGCCTCTTCGCGTCCGTGTAGGAGAAATTCTTGCGTCTCGCGCCCTTGTTCCGTGCTCTGTAGGGTGGCGTGGCGGGCCTCGATCTCGGATACGAGGCTCAGATCGCCACCGAGTAGGCGGCACACCTTCTCGGACGACTGGCGACGGAATGCGTGTGCTTTCTTGCCGGGGAGTAGCCACACAATTTCGATTAGGGTTTTGGCGTCGGCGACCGGTGTTATCTTTCCCTTTCCATTTACGCAGACGTGACAAACGTGGTTTATCAACTCGAGCGAGGTCGAAAAAAGTCCGCTTAAGTACGTGCTAGCTGTTCCAGAGCAACATTTAAGAGCGATGCGGATCGTGTCTATCACGCTCCCCTGATTCGTGTCTTTGTCCACGCGGATTGTTGAGCTATCCATGCTTTCGATGAGGTCCATGATGTGTCAGTTAAGCTTTTCTAACATTTTGTTTGGGGTTAAAAAAACGCACCTGGTGGCTGATATTGACTTATAACAATGGAACACAAATGAGACCACGAGTGTCACTTCTTTCTGTGATTTCGTGATGGAGCCCTATCCGAAAACTGGCCTTGGCGTTGTGCGTGTCGACAAAACTTCTGCGAAGGGTAGCTCGTTGGACGTGGTCCGAATGTTGCTCGAGTGTGACCCAAGTGTGGCAAACACTGCCTTGAGACGCCTTTTCGCCTTCGATAAGTGTATACCATCAATCAAGTCCCGCACAACATTCCTCAAAATCAATGGATTTGGGCCAACAACGCCGGTGGCGGACTTGAGAACTCTGGTAGAGACGATCTGCCGCGATGTAATCGCTTCCAATCCTTTTCGGGGGAGGCAATGTTTTGCCAGATATCGCGAAGCTGTGTAGAGCTCTACATCCACGATGTCGCCCCCGAAGTAGTCAACTCCGAAGTATGCGGACTGAAGACCGTCGGACACGGGTAACCCCCACCTTGAAAACGACTCGTCCCTATCCCTGATCAACATAGCCTTTTTTCGGATGGTCGAAGAAAGTGAGGTAGCAGTATACATGCAAGGCGCTTGAATTTCATCGTGTGTATGTAGGCGTGCACCCGACAACCACTTGACTCCTCCAATTTTTTAACAATCCTCTCGAACGGCACGTTGATGAGATTGGCAAGTCCCTCGCACAAGCCCAACAGTGCACCGGACATGTTCTTTACCAGGAGTTCGTGACGGCTTTCTTCGAAGATAGGATTGACTTTCAGAAGGACCAAGCGTTCCGTCTCGTCAAGGAATTGTAGCATCCGGTGCCCCTCCGCTGTAGCTATCCTGTTGAACAGGTGTCGTTCATGGTCGATGCCTGCGATGGCGTCGGCGACTGATGTCCCAAGTTTACCGTTGGAAGTCGCCCAGTTGAAAACGACTACGGAGAGAGGAATACCCATAGGTAAACACCTGTTCCACACAGACCCTCTCTTCACGACCAGTCTGGTTCCGATCTTTGGCCTCTTGATTCTCGTGCTGCAAAAGTCTCCCGAGACCAACCCTGGCGTTGGCACAATGCCGCCGAGTCTGTTCAGCCTGTTGTTGTAGCACTCGATTCTTGCCTTTTTGGAGGAGTTTTTCTTGGCGACGACCGCATTCTTGGTACTTTCAGCCATCCTGAGAGTTGTGACGATGTGTGCTACATTTCCATCTCGCAAGTTTGGCATTCAGATTGGCACGCACTCGGGAAAAAATTGAAGAGCGTTTGAGCGGTCTTTCCCCGAGGAATGTCCTCCAGGCCGCATACGATGCGGATGGCTTCTTGAATTATGTCGGCATCGCGTTGCCAGTGCGTGTTTTCGCTGAAGGGCTTTCCCCGGAAAATAGTGTGTCGCTTGGGGATGTTGGCAGCAGCTGCGACCCCGTGCCGCTTACGGTACAGGCTCTTTGCCATTTTGCCCACCTGTCCGGCTTTTTCGCCGAGTTTGAAGCCCATTTTCGCCGCCTCGTTGCAAATCGACGTCTCGGGGCCCCGCACGCTCTCGCTGCATGTCGCCGTAGCGATGCGCAGCCCCGTCTCGGGGTCGATGCTGTCGTTCACGGGTCTTGCCACGGCAACGATCGAGTTGTCCGCGTCCATGGGGACAGCAGCTAACATGTTGCTGGGCGCCAAGGCGCGCATCTGAATATCCTTGATTCTGTCGGCAAATTCGATGGAGTCGCGGCCGGTGAACTGGTTGACGGACTGCAGTTCATCCTTCAGAGTTTTGCACAAGTCCATCTGCTCCAAGGTCATCGCTTTGTTCGCCATGACGGACACATAGTCTCTCTTCTGCTCCCCCGATGCGAAATTGAACCAGAACGGCGCTTCCGACCGTTGCTTTTTGGCAGGGCTCTGGTCCAAAACAAAATTCTGGTACGCCCTGCCTTCCTCAGTACTCTGTAGGCGAGACCAGAACCCTACATCGGCAGGTTCATCAGAGCCTTCCGGTGGTACTCCAACTTGCCCCTACCAAGGACCTTGGTCAGCATATCGGCGCGCTGCTCTTCTGTCGAGATATAATCTGCGGTGATCTTGCCCGCCTTGAAGAGCTCGCGGATGAAGTGGAACCGCACGTCGATATGCTTGCTCCCCGCCGAGCTGAAAGGGTTCTGCACCAACGCGAGAGCCCCCTCGTTGTCCTCACGGACCCTGATCGTGGCACCGCTCGTCTCGGGCGCAATGAACGACAGAACACCACGCACGAACAACGCTTCCTTCACGCACTCCCCGGCTGCAATATACTCTGCCTCCGTGGTCGACTGAGCCGTCACTGGCTGTGTCTTCGTGGATGCGCACACTACGGTCCCACCTACAGTCACGGCTAGCCCCATCGTCGAACGCCTGTTAACGGTGCTGTCGGCGTAACTAGAATCGACGAACAGCGATATTCGGCCTCGTGAACAACAACCACATCAGGCATCCGATCGCTTCCCTCACGGGCTTGTCCACCGAGGACTCGTCGTCTCTCTTCGGCCCTAGGTCATCGTCGACGACAGCGGGCGTGGGAGCAGTGGTCGTGACATTGAAGCGGTTGAGCATGCTCTCGATATAAGCCGTCTGGGACAGCTTGGTGGTACCATTCTCAAGG